GCTTTCCCTAATCCCATCAACCCAGTCTGTAGGAAGGGTCAGGGGTCAGTAACTGCTTCTAAAAACACTGTTCAATTGAATCCAAACAAGCTCTTACCTACTAAGCAGCTGCTCACAAACAATTCGGAATCTGTCCTCATTACCAATTGTTAGGGGCTCCTGTGGCAAGAAAAGCCCTATTTTGAATAGGCCTCTAATGCACCAGCAAGTCTTCATCTGATAGGCTAAGATCTAAAGTCAGCAAATTTTTTTACTTTTTTTTTTCCTTTTAGCACAAAGAGAAAAAATTAGAAACCAGCTATTACTGGCTGGCATATCTACTGGCTCTGGCAGGAAGCAAGATGTTGATTTTCAAAACACAGTGTTTTACATCAAGAAAGACTTCTAGGAACTGGTGAAAAGAAAGTGTAAATATAATAATATATGGAAAATTGTGAAAGGCATAAACTATTTTTCAGTGACTGATAAAACAAAAAAAAATTATCTGTGCTGGGAAAAAGAGCTTTAGAATGCCACCTAAGGAAACTGGGTTCAAATATTTCAGTCACTGTTGAAGATGAGAGCAACATCATTATGATCTATGGTCAGATATAGTTTTGTTAATTATCTGAAGGAGGCTGGTCCTGGTGCCAGGACTTGCAGAGTTATTTTGTTCTAATGTGTTACATACTTAGTAAGCTGGAAATGGTGTTGGAAGCAATAGGTGAAAATGTCAGAGATCTGAAAACTTGTAGGAGGGGAAAATTTTACTTACAGTATAGTTTGTTGCCATGTACAGAAGCAAAGTTTTTTCCTAATTTGAAAATGCATAGATTTTTTCCTGGAAGTTTGATGATACTTGAATCTCCTTTTATTAAAAATGAAAAAAATTTAATATTTCAAATATTTTTAATATTTACAAAAGGTTATATTCTAAAACTGTTGTGTATAGGGTACCTGCACATGTGTAAACTGGGAGCCTTGATGTAGTCTCACTGGTTTCAGAAGAGGAAGAATTAAACTGTCTCTGACTGCTCTTATATTTTATGTTTTAAATACAGTGGGTTCTTTTAAAATATTTTTTAGACAGTCTCGACAAAGACCATCAGAAGCTCACAAGTGAGGGCCTGTGTAGGGGTAGCTCACCAGCACCAAACCTCTAGTATGGCTCAGTCCTTACACCAGCTTGGTGATAATGCCTTCATGCTGGTGGCTCAGAGAATGAGGATGCGATCCCAGACTCCTGAGATTTCCAGTCTCTTCCTCTTATTCCTGAGGTCAGTAGCTTATCCAAGCCTAATTTGCAAAGCGTCTTCTCTCTCTTTCTCTCCTTAAGGTCGACCTGCCTGGTCAGGAAAGTGAAGTGTACAGCAAGATAAAAATTTAGGAAGATTTTCTAAGTCAGGTGCAAACTTCTATTTCAGCAACACATACAAAGAGCTGAGGTGCCTTAGACCCCTTTATGTCCCTGTGAAGTTGCATGATAGTTCTAATTTTTCTATTATTGTGGTTCTGGAAGGTATGAAGATCATGGTTCTTTTTCTGTGTTGCTTCTTTTTTTGCTTTCTACTGTGAAGATCACAGTTTATCATGGAAGGAGTTGATTTTCATTATTTTCATTATTTCAGGTGGGGAAAAAATATTTTAGGTAACTTTACCAAGACAGTGCTAAGAAAAGATAGTTGTTCTGCGGAGTAAGGAAACAACTCTTGTGAATATTCTTGCTGCACTAATCTGAATTGCACATCAGACACAGTACAAATATTAGCTTTCAAATACATGCAACTTATTAAATGATAAGTAAAATTACTGTAGAAATAGACATTATTATAAATATGCCACTAAACCACATTTTTAGTTTTACTTGAAGCCTTAAGGATATACAAATTCTATTTAAGTGATATAAAAGTCTCTGACTTCCAGAGGCAGTAGTCATAGGCAGTACATAAGACGAATTATTAAGGGAATATAGTATATTAGGAAAATATACCTAATAGTTTAAACAAGAAAAAAATTAAGATTGAGACTCACTGTTTTCCAGCAGTTATGGCTATGCATGTATGCACTACTGGGTTGGTTGTCTCTGATCATTCAAATTCCTCCAACCTACACAGAACACTTTCTGAGTTCATTCTATGGGACTCATTAATGGCTATTTTTCTAAGGACCTTGGATATTGTCTTTTTTTATACACTCCCTCAAGAGCAGAGATGAGAGTGATGCCAAGGTCTGAGCTTCCTTCTATGCTGTTTTATCACTGTCCAGCCTGCCTTACTGACTCCTCTCTGACTCCTTGCTGACTCCTTGCTGACACATGGGCAATACACCCATTATCCACTTTGGCTGGTAGGCAGGCAGACATTCAGTTATTCCTTCAGAAATTAATTTGCCCAGTGGACTCTGCTTCCAGAACAAGAATACGATAATGCAATCCAAATGACCACACTGCTAACTTTGAAAACTTCAGTGCTAGTAGTCAGTCTTTGTGAAGCAAGTTGGTAATCTGAACACGTTTCTCAAGGGCAAGTATTTATATACCCAAAATACCATACAAAGTTGGCAGGCTTTTGAGGTTGAGGATGAAGGGGCTGGGACTATCTTCTCTCCTTGTAATTGTGGAGTTGCAGTTTGCTTCTGCTCTCCACTTGCTTACCTGCTCTTATACAGGGGGATGGGAAATGGTTTCAGCCATGGAGCACTTAACCCCACAGTGTCTGTCAGAGAAATTTCCTACAATAGTGACGTTGCATGTATGAACTGATTCCTGCTTGCGTTCTCCCTGAAAGATACAAATTTTTACTTGATCTTACCTACTTGAAAAAATCTGCAGAACAATTTTTTGTTGTGGAACAGGAAAATGACTGAGATTCAAGAACTCATGGGATTATTTTCTAAAAAAAATATTATTGGGATTTATTTCTTATTTTCTTTTCTTGTTTTTGTTTTACCATGGGTTGCTAAATATGACAGTGTTCCCTATCCTTAATTGTCCCTCTAGAAATATTGATTCAAAGTATGTTTTCAGTCAGCCTAGTATAAGTCCAGAGTAGCTCCAGTGAGTTCAGAGGAAGAAGACCAGATTTTTATTAGTACAACTAAGAAGAAAATTAGACTTAGGTTTCTTGTATATTGTTCTGCTGTCTATAGAAAAGTTATGATTAAAATACAAATTGAAGTTCTCAGAGATTTTTTTCATAAATTAATATCCCAGTAAACCTAGTCAGTTAAAAAAAAACAACCAAGCAAACAAACAAAACTCCCAAAATAATAAAAAACCACCAAAACAAAACAACAACAAAAAGCAAACCAAAACAAAAAACCCTAAGAACCTACCCCACTTTATTTTCCTGCCTCTGTTAATCTCTTTTCTCTGAATGTTTCTCTTTTGTTTTGATTTTGAGTTCTAAATAACAGCAACTTCCTAACAGCACAGCCTTGATTTAAAACTAACAATGACAGCATAAGTCCCCCTGGAAAAGGGTTAACCACAGACTGCAAACTAAAGTATCTGCTTTAAAAAAAAAAGTCTTTAAATCATTTTATGTTTTAGAGAATTTCTTTTCACCCTTCCCCCTTTCAAAAAAAAAAAAAAAAGAAAAAGAAAAAGTGAGACCATCTTAACTGTAAGAGCAAGTTTATTCAGGTGGTATGAATCAGACAGGGCTCACTGATGCAAACTATAGCCTCAGAAAGCACAGCAGGCTCTGAGCCTCACAGGGCTGCCCCACGAAAAGAAGCATAACAAAAACCAGAGAAGAACAGACCTGCAGTAATCTCCTTGCCCTGGCTAGAAAACAGGGGTGAAGGAAAGCTGCCCTCTCATTATGGTTTTGGTCTCAAGGTTAGAATTAGACCCTTAGGGTAAGCAGCTGTCAATTAGAGATAACTCCAACCAATGCTGTCTGAAATCTTGGACTTATCTCCTAGCAACTTCCCTTCTTTCAGGGCAGCAACCCTCCGCTCTGCCTTCAGCTCAAGAGTCATCCTGAAGACAGCGAAATAACCTTTTCAATTTGGGCAGATGCATAAAAAATCCAGCTTCCAGAGCCTATGTGAAACCTGCATGACATTTGACTGAAGCTGGATTTTAATCTAGGTTGATTATATATTTGCTTTGTTTTCCATGTTGCAGATATTGAGAGGTGATTTTGCTAAAAGAATGTTCTCAGATAATGCTTACAAATTCTGTGGGTTTTAGGCACATGGTGGTTTACTGAGAGAGATGCAGGGTTATCATGTTTGTGCATCTCCTGGTGCATCTCTCCTTCCCACTGCCTTTTACACCAGGAGAAATTTGCCAAGAGTGGTGAATGAGGAGTGGCCATAGTTACAGCAGCAGCTCTGGAGTCCTCTCTGGCGTGGCAGGGTGTGCAGAACAACAACAAGCATAAATCCTATTAAGAAGACCAAGAGGTTATGCGTCATTTTTGTAGGGAACGTGACTGAATTTGAGGGGGGAGTTTAAAAGACTTCAAAAGACACCTCTACCTCTATTTTCAGGGTTTGCCATTCATTAGATTTTATTTTAGATCCATAGCAGTCCCTTTTCTAACCAAGTGAAAGGTCCAAAAGGAGACAGGGAGAAGGGGATCAGAGAGAGGAGGAGCGGGGAAAGAGAAAAGGGGTGCTTGCAGAAAAATAAGGAGGGGGGGGACACGACAAGGATGAAGCTCATCTTTGATTCAGTTGAGGTCTGTATTCACAAAGAGATCACTCAGAAATTTTGTACAAATGGCAGGAGCAGAATGTGAGCGCAATGAGGGGCCTAATGCAGGCACTTGTCCTGTAATCAAAGATTCAGCTCAACATGAGTCCTTTGTGAGACAACAGCATCATTCTCCACCCAGGCTAACCCCTGAATGCAGAGCAGCTCTCTCAGGCAAGGCAGGCAGGATGAGCTTCGCATTTCTTTGTCCTCTTTGGAAAATATGATCTTTTTTTTTTTTCCCTATTCCTCATTTGCCTCTCTTCTAAAGAAAACATTTTTTTGATATGCCTGTAGTGAGCCAGAGGATGTTTGCGTGAGTGGAGGCGCTCTCAGGGTGAGGAGAGAAGCAGATGGGCTGACATGGTGGAGCGAGGGCAGCTCCAGCCTGCGTTTGGGGAGAGTGTGCAGAAAAATGGCTGACATTTCCCTGCTCGCGAATGCATGATGGGCGTCCTCCTCTGCGTAAGCACAATTCCCCCTTCCCCAGACTTTAGCAGCCCTACATAGATGAAACGTACAGGGATTCTTTTTTTTCCTTCTTAAAGGCATTGGGCAGTAGAATTTTGCAAGCTTTCAAAACACTTTTATTTTTAAAAAAAAATGTTTTATGATTTTGTTAAAATGAAACAGAATTTCAGTTTGGGTAAATAGACTTTTTCAGTCGGGTTGCATTAGATACCTAGTTTTGAGTGGCAAATAGTGTTTTCCTTAGATATATTTTTAATATCACTGTAGAAAACGTTTAGAAAATATAAAGCAATATTTATCTGATTCCTGGTATTTTTACTCAGTCTGAATATTACATGATGTGGTGGGTGTAACCTATTCTTTTGAGAATTTGGCTCTTTAAAACAGGAAACAAGATGTAGAAAGTAAGTAAAATTTACAATCCTTAAAGCTTTACACAGAAACAATACAAAGAAACAGAAAGGGAATACAAAACTAAGCATCCCAGGTGAATATTTGGTCATTCTGGGGTTACAGCCATATACAGCAGCGTAAACTAACATGACATTGTGGCAGGGACGTAGGTCCCAAATTCTTAGGAATCCCATTAATTCTTTGCTTTCTTGAATTGCTAAGTGCTTATCTCTACAGAGAATTGACTGCTACCTCTAGCATTGCTAAAGGTGTTTATTGAAAAGGCTACCCAGAAATGGGTCAATCCTACATTCCTCACAGATATCAGAGGGAGTCTTGGAAGCAAAATGCAGAGTGTTTAGATTTCAGACAGGCTTATTTTAGACACAAATATCACATGAAATAACTAGAAATGCCAATATTACTATTTTAACATACAATGTAAAATTTTAAATATTTCTGAACACCCAGTGGTGAAGTAAAAAGGAAAGACATAGTTTCAAATAATTGACTTCTTGGTATAAAATTCAATGTAAAAGGTAGAAAATATTACTGATAAGGTAATATTATTGGTAATTTAACTGAAAATGTGTTTGTGATATCTGTTTGATACATAGCATCATCTTTTTTCTTGATTCTCCAAGACATTGTTGTGATTCATCTGAGCTTTGTATGTGTGTGAGTGTGTGTGTGTGAGTGTGTATATTTGTGTGGGTGTGTATCCCTCAAGTACCTTGCAGCTGAAGATTTTGGAAACCTAAATTGTGTGTTTTTCTATCTGGTTGTGTATGCAATTGAATGTACCTACATTTTCATATCTTATATATCCAAAACACAGTGGAAGTCTAGCTACACAGTTATATCATAAGGCTTTATCAGATTATTATTTAATATATTTATTTTATACTTGTAAAAAATGGGCAAATATAAACCTCCAATAGCTTCTTTTGTCTTTTTTTTTTCGTATGGCATATGTGTGTTTTCAATTTTGTGTTATAAATTTGTGACATTATATAGGATTGCAAAAAGTTTTGCATTTCCAAACCAGGCCTGGCTTTCATTTTGGGTGTGATGTAATCACTACCATACCCCTTCTTGGGGAATCAAACCAGCAAGAGCCCTGCAGCTCTGTGGCCCTGCCAGGCTGCCCTGGGATTCGCTCTCAGAGCTCCCAGTGTGATTCAGCACTCTGCTCCTATTCAGGGACAGAATAAGAATGTGCTTAAGTGCTTTGTGCTTTGAAAACATGCTTAAATGCTTTGTTGAATTGAGAACTAATTAAATGACTGAAAGTTCAAACTTAATATCTCAGTGTAAGGAATGTGTGAATTTTCCCACAGGAAAGAATAGCATACTCTGAAAATATGGCCAAAAAATTTTTGGTTTCTTCCTTGGGTTTGGTTTGTTCTGTTGTAGTTGTTTGGTGGGGGTTTTTCCCTTTCATTAGGAAATAAGGTATAATTAATTTTCAGTGCTTTTCCTTCCATATAATTTAAAATAGTTTTTAAAACGTAAGCAAGAAAAATTGAAAGTAAAATAAAAATTTGCGTTTTCAACTTTGTAGTTGAAGCAAGGTTTTATTTCTGGAATCTAGAAAATGTTACTCTGTTGGGGTTTTTTTTTGTTTGGTTGGTTGGGTTTTTTTAATTTCTCTTTTCTCAAATGTTAATTTTTAGTTGGTTTTGTGTTTGGTTTTTTGTTTTGTTTTTTTTCTAAATGCCTCACAGAAGGTTGGCAAATTTCCAGAATAACAGCTGGAAGTGAGAAGGAATGAAAAAGTATATCACAGAAATTCAAATGAAAAATAGGATATACATTTTTAATGGGTATGGTTATCATTCATTTGAACAAATTATAAATGAGAGAGTTGTTTTTTAGATTTCCAGATGTCTTCAGCTCAGCGTTGGATGCCTTTCCAATAGACAAATACAAGCGATTAACTTCACAGAATGTCTGTGAGTTGAAATTCAGACAAAGATTAAATGGTACATTCTGGCCTTCAGAATTCAAAGCATTGGAGATGGGGATCCTGGACATAAGCTTGTTTGCAGTATGTGTGAAAAAGGTACTTCATTTCATGTCCTGAAGAAAGAAAAAATTTTTTAAAACATGGTTTTGTTGTTGTTTTTTTTGTTTGGTTTTTTTTTGTCTCTGTTAGCTATGTTCAAGAAACCATATACATAACATCAGAAAGGATGACTGTTAAGATCAGATCTATTGACATAATTAACTTATTTGCAAACAGTTTAATGTATTTTTATCTGAGTCTGCCTTCTTGCACACACCAAAACTACCCTTATTCAACTCCTTGTGAATTGGGGTGTACAGCAAATAAAGGAACAATCATCTAGTCCAAACATATTTGCATTCTTAATATGGTGCACACATTCAGGCAAGCGGCAATTTGCATGAGGACCATGAGCCAAATTCAGTTCTGACAGTAGTAGGCATAACTTTATTCAAATCAGACAAGCAGCAGGCATTTACAAGGGGCAAGAATAGGTGCTCTGTATTTGCTGCATGTCCATACTCCAGCGTAATGCATTGCTGCTGTTGCTCAAAACTTCACATTTTTCTTAGATCAAAACCAAATGCAAGTTTCAGCTACAAGTTTGGATATGTATGCAATAGCTGGCAGGATATACATCTTGCTTTTGCACCTAGATTTCAGTGTGAATAATAATCATACTTTTAAAAATTATTCTTTTTGCAGGCTTTCATAGCTGGAATTAGATGAGAAGCATTATGCTAGGATGCCTCTGGCCACCTTCAAAGCATCCTTGTAAAGTCGGTCACAAACATAAGTAACTTCATTCTGTCCAAAGTATTAGCATGTTTTTCAGTGCTTGTTTTCCAAGTATTCTTACTAATACTTTAATGACGGCTGTATACCCCAGTGCTGTGGAGCTGGCTGATGTGTCTTGCTGTGTTTCAGCGAATGTTGTGAGGAATCTACAGCAATTAGCTGCTCATGCCTCTGCTTTCCTGTTTTGTGCCTTCCCTTTCATGTATCAGATGTTTGTAAGTTTTCCATTAGACATTTCCTGCTTCTAATAGATGTTTGTGAGGCTTTGCTTTGAGCTATCAGGGCTCCAATTTGTGCTGAGATGTTTGGTTTTGTTTTAGGGCTGAGGGGTCTTTGTACTCCTTTCTTCCTAGAAAACATTATAATCTGGAAAAAATAAATAAATTGTACTTTGCAAAAAGTGAATATGAGTCCTTCATCTAAATGGCATGGTTTGCACATGTGTCTTTTGTCAGCAGATCACTCCTAAAATAAAAGCACTTAAACTGCAGTTTCTGCCAACTTATCAGACACCAAATGGTGACAACATATATGTATTGTAGTTTCTAAAGGCAGCTTTGTACTCCAGTGTTTTCATCTTCTTTGACCTGCTTTGTTTTTTCTCTTTTAAATTTGAAACGGTGACTGATTTCTTTTTCTGTTTCCACCAGCTTGATGTGCTGTACACTACAAGTAAGTAGCTTTAGCTGCCTTTGAAAGAAGAAAATACCTCTTAAAAAGTGTCTAAAATGAGCGTTGCCCAATGTGAAGTGGCTGTCAAAATTAACAGGAAAGGCATAATTGATTCCCTAGGAGTCATACATGAAAACTAGCTTAAATTTTACAAAACCACTTCTGGCATGTTTAAATACTTAAATAAATGTGGTGCTGATCTTTTAATCCCCTATTCCATGTTTTAGCAGTGAAGCAGTGTACCCAGGCACCAAGGCAGCCCCAGCCTCTTGGAGGGTGTTTATGCAGCCAGGCACTATCTGCCATCCCTCCATTCACATGGTATCAAGGTTTCTGGGTCTGTATTTTCCTTATCGAGTCACCAAACCAATGCAGCATCAAAGGAAACTGTCAATTCACAGCACATCAGCCATGCTTTGAACTAAGGAACTAGTCAACCCTTTTGGAGTTTTATTTATTAAGGTCAAAACTGGGTTTGAATTGTCAGTGAGGGCAGGGGAGTGGTGAGGGGAGCAAAGGATGGCTACTGACTCAAGAAACCTGCTGGGATTTTGTGGCCCACTGCTAGGCAACAGCCCATCCCCACCACAGCAAACATACAACCACAAAATGAATGACCTCATCTACAAATCAGCTATTTGATATGCAGATCGGACTGCTGGCCTCTGCCATAACACAGCGCTGCACGGGCAGCAGGTGCAGCAGGAACAAGTACATGGCCTCTTCATGTTTTAAAAGGCAAGGCTAGCTTGTGTTCACCCACTCCCTCTGGTCCTTTGCAATTCCTGAAGCTCTATTGCCTTCATTTTTTATTTAGACCCTCCATTTAAAGAAAACATGGTGACTCCTTTCTGCTCCCCTCCGTACCCAGCCTCAGGCCTAGAGAGGAAGGGGCAGGGCTAAGAAACTGCGCCAGCAGCCTTTATGATTCCTCCAGCATTTGAATACGCAATCTGAAAAAACAAGGGGCATTTTAGGAAGGAATTGTGATTCCTGGGGTTTTTGCCTTCTCAGATGTCATGTCTTTGCAAATCACTATCAAAGTGTGGGGTCTTGTTTCTTTTTCAAAATGGAGATGCTCCTTGTGCAGATAGAGCGTGTGGAAGGCAGCATTTTTCCCTGTGTGTGCATGCTCTCCTTTAACTGCATGGAGAGTGCTTTTTGCATCCTACAGCAAGTGAACTACATGCAGTTTTGAGGGCAGACTTGCAAAAAAACAAACACACCATTTTGTAACAGAATTAGAGTATTCTTCAGCTATGTGTTAAAAAGAATAAAGAGCTGCTGCTACTCTGGACTATGAAACAGCACTGAGCCTCTTAGTGGGCCTCAAAGAGCAATAAAACACAGTGTAATATAGTTTGTATTGTCTGTGGTTGCAGGTTATGTCCTGAAAGCCGTAAACTATTACAGCTTTATAGCTATGCTGCTGGTATTAACTAAATGAAAGGGTGATTTGTTCTAAGTCTGTAGTCTGTATGATAGCGAATCTTAAATTCATCAGGACCAATTGATGAAAGAGGAGGAAAAAATACTGTGGAGCCAATAGGGACAAAGCCCTAATGCAAACAAAACAAGAGTTTGGTATGGTGTCTGACCCCTTCAAGCTTTTGCCTCGTACTTCTCGGGGGCAGAATTGATCATCCCTGAAACTACAAGGTATATTCAGTTGATGGGGCTGAAGGAAGCCTTGGCTGCTTATTACAGGAAGCTATGAAAAAACAGATATTTACATTATTGTATCTAGATAATTCTGGGATTCTAAAGAAAGATTCTGAATTTGCTGGAACATAAGAGCTCTTTCTTTTTACTCCCTTTAGAGAGTTTTTGTTGAAAAATGCACCTCTGAGTGCTAAAGACAGTGATTTAAGGAGCCAATCTAACAACACAGTGTCTTTTGCCTGAAGGCTGTGAAAATGTTTAAGTTTTGTCTGAAACCCTGGAATTTCCTGTTAAAGAGGAATTGTTGTTTTCTGCTTGTACCCAGTTGCAATGTTTTAGCTTGATTCAGGCTTGAATTTAAACACGGATGAAATGTGTGTCCTTACACTTGCTGAAATTCATGAATTATTTGTTAGATAATTCTGCAGCTACTTCCTTGTAACCTTCAGCTTCTGCATAAGCCATTAGTTGCTGGTACTGGGAATAGGGTCTGGCTGGTCACAGACTCTTTGTCACTATGAACTTCTGTCAGGCTTACGTGAGACAAACACTTTTAATTTTGGTTCAGAATACACATCAATTTAAAGTACTAAAATATTTTCTTAAAACTGACCAATCTGCAAGTTGTTTTTACTAAAAACTCACAGGAATTCTCACAGTGAATGAATGCTAATAGGAAGGATGCAAAAGAAAATGAGACTGGACGCTCAAAAGGAATGATCATGACACAATTGTCCCATTTTCTTTCAAATAGGCTTTGCTGGTAGGATACATTTGGATGTCTGACTTTCAAACCAATGCCTCAAGGTCCCCAAAATGTTGTCTTCAGGGCCTGGTTCAGTACAGAGGCAAAGTGCTACCAGCCTCCACATTTGTCCCCTGCATGACAGAGAGCAAAGCCAGCAATTCAAAACAGTGTGTGGTTTGATACCAGCGAGTTTGAACAGGTTCTTGATGACTGAACAGACCCAAAAGAGGACATAGACCTACCCTCCTGATGTAGTGCAGGTGAGCAGCAGGCAATGGAAGGGGGGAGTGGGTCTGTCCCCTCTCCTGTTGCAGCCCTGCAGTATTCTGTGAGGATATGGAGGTGCACCTGCTGCCTTCTGTTTCTCTGAGCACAGCTCATGTTTGCTTACCTGGGAGAGTGTGGGCCACTGTAGGCATTTTCAGTGCCTTTTGTCCAGGAGATTGAGGCACATTTTGTTACTCAGGGAGGCATACACAGGAAAATGCCTGGTAAAGTCTGTTTTCTCAAAGTGGGGTCACAAAAAAGTCCTCAAATTTGTAAACCTTCATGTGCTTTAAAGTCCTTAAACATTCTCTGTTGCAACTTCTTGGATAATTGACTACATGGCTACTTGAATGTATTTTAAGTTTTGAAACTATTTACTGTTGAGAGTATTAACCTCCATGCTCTGTTGATGACCACACAGCAGTGCAGGGTGGGGTAGCTAAGGAGCCCCTCTAGGACTCCAGTATGTGCTGACACCCCTGAAGTCTTGGGGTATATCACAGGAATCTTTCACTCCCAGCTATGGCTCAGCTTCCTAATAGTTGCTCCACAGAGAGCATCCTATGTCTGGCACCGGTGCAAAGATATCACAGAATCATGGAAGAGTTTGGGTTGGAAGGGACCTTAAAGATCATCTAGTTCCAAATCCCTGGCATGAGGAGGGACACCTTACACTAGATCAGTTTGCTCAAAGCCCCATCCAACCTGACCTTCAACATTTCCAGGGATAAGAGGGTATAATTTATTCCCACATTTGTAAGGACATGCCATAAGACAGGAAGATTTCCAACAGAAGGCAATTTGCTCTGAGTGATAAACTTTAGAAAACTTTTGACTGCTGTAAACACAGAACTCTCTTGTTGTGGTATTAATAGCAAAGAAATGTCAAGAAGCCAGAGTGGGTGACAGAGAGCACAGTCTTAGTGAGAGCTGGATGTGACCATTCATCCAGCCCTGGGGCTGGCAGGGCTCAGTGGCACATCTGCAGGCTTTCCCACTACCCAGTGCCAGAGAATGATCTGAAGCATTTTCACACAATATTTGAATGAGGTTTTAAATTAAGATGCCAATAGTGTGTACAGATCACAAAAGGTAAAGCTGCTGGTATGCAAGCAATTTGGGATGAGCACTGGATGCTTGGACAGACTGCTTGGGCAATAGCTAGCAACTGAAGAGTGATTTCTGAGCCAGCTTAGTGACATCTGTTCAAATTTCTTGCAGAGTGCAGGCTTCCCTCCCCTGTGACAAGGCCAGGCACATTCCTTCTGTCCTGCCTGACAGCACAGAAGTGGTGGTGGCTGCTGCCGTCCCTGATCCGGGGCCCCGCAGGGGCAGAGTCTACTGGTGTGAAGCTGCTGCTGGGACAATGCGAAAGAGTGAGATTATTCCCAATATGCAAACAGGGAGCCCGCCTTGAAGTCAGGGAGAAAAACAAGGGTGCTAGTGGAAAGAGGACAACAGATCCCAGTGTTTAGACTGCTCTTGCTGAATTCATCCCACTAAAGAACAAAGCAAGGAGAGCCTTGCAAGAATTTGATCCCCTAAGAAAGGCTGCTGCTGTTAACCCCTTCATGGTGAGCCACTTGGGATGTAACTTAACTGGAATGTCAGTGGAAGTGGCAGATTGCTACACTTTAGAGGTGAGCAATGCCACAGGCTCTGGAAAGGGATCACTGGCTCTAACATATTGGCCTCTGCTTTTGCACTTGATTTTATTTTTTTTGGGGGGGGGGTTGTTCTTGAAAAATTGGCAGGCCTGTGGCATTGAAAGAGTTATTACAAACCAGAGGATAAAATGTCAATGATGCCTGATGCAGAGAAATCTGCAGCATTAGCAGATATGTGCTGCTGATCTAGTAGCTGCTAGCCCTCTCCATTTCACAATGTGATATTTCTGGGTTTCAGTAACCAGCCCCATAGGAGGTCTTCCTTGATACTTTTAACCAAACAGTGGCATTTGGCTCCT